CGGGGGTTCTTGAACGAGCCTTTGTTTATATTCCGGTGTGAGAAAAATGGCGGCATGGTCAGATTTGCCAAAAGCCGGTAGTGAGCGAGCTTTGTAGGCATTCTTATACTGAGAGTAGCAATGATCCAGCGTATTCGGTCCTCTAGTTGGACAGGATATATGTTGATAAAAGTTCGGCATGACCCGCTTGAGGCTGGCTTTGTTAAAGTCCCCCGCGATGATAAAAGCAGCGTCAGGATGTTTGTTAATGTAACCGCTGAGCACATCGTGAAGCTTAGACAAAGCCAAACTGGTGTATGCCTGTGGTGGAATGTAAACAGCAGTAACAATGATCGATGAAAACTCCCAGGGCAGATAGAATGAATGGCAAATAATGGATAAATGTTCCAGATGAGGCGAGCAGGAGCGCAACAGAGTGGAGATATTCCTGGGGTCACACCATTTCTTGTTAGTCATGAAACACACTCCACCACCTTTGGATTTACCGGCCTCAGCTGTTCTGTCCATCCTTAAAACAGAGAAGTTATCAGACGGCGATACAGCAGAGTCCAGGACCGAGGTCGTTAGCCATGTTTCAGACAAACAAACGATGTTACAGTCCCTGATGTCCCGTTGGAAACTTATTGCTGGAAAATATAATGTAGTGATTCAGTATTTAAACTGCTATTAATAAAAGTCGTGGGGCAGCGTTGACAAGTTTCTTTTCTCCTGGATGTGTGAGCTGCGTGATCTCAGATATATATACAGTGGGGGAAAAATCTATAAAAATCCTACAATGTGATTTTCTGGATTTTTCTTTCTCATTTTGTCTCTCATAGTTGAGGTATACCTATGATGAAAATTACAGGCCTCTCTCATCTTTTTAAGTGGGAGAACTTGCACAATTGGTGGCTGACTAAATACTTTTTTGCCCCACTGTATATATATATATATATATATATGTGTGTGTGTGTGTGTGTGTGTGTGTCAGTAAGCAGCGCATTAATATAGAATGGTAATTAAAACCTCTAATGCACAACAGGTGAGTGTATTGTAGGAGCTAGACGACGTATGGTGACGTGTAGTAGTGGTGTCCCAATTCTTAGGGGAATATTTTCACCCCTACCCCTTGACACTCTGTTTCAAGGGACAAGGGGAATGGGTATAAAATAGAATTGGGATTGGGCCTAAATATACTGAGACCAACCTCTCGCCTTGCTCTATTTCATCTTACTGTGTAATGACCCATCCAGAAGGCTCTTTGACACCTGCACTAGAATGATGGAGGACATGCTTCAACAGGCCCTTGGGATGAATTGTCATCAGACAGTGACGCATGACCAAAGTCAGAGGATACGAGGTCAGTCGGGTGAGATTTAAAGAGACAAATCGCAATTCGAAGCCCAAAAAGGTCACATTTCAAATGGCATTTCTTGAAACCAAACTTTGGGTGTTCACACAACTGCACTACTGGCCTATTTTGACTCAGCTGTTCTGACATGTTAAGGACAGTGTCATTGGTATAACATCTTTGGCTTGCGGTTCACAGCCATCCCAATGGTTATGGCAGATTAAGAACGCAGGCTAAACAAGCAAACAGCCAAAGGGTTGCTGGATCAAGACCCACAAGTCTAAGCTACAGCACTCACGACAAGCAGAGTCAATTCATCATCAACAGCAAGATAAACAGCTCTTGATTGGATGCATCAAACTAAATGAGGATTAAATTAGCATAACGATAAATGATACCGCACAAATAATAGGATTAGCGAGCTGCTTGCTGTGATTTCATCACCTTTTTTATGCCGTGATGAAATTCTCTGAGGTTAGCTTGAGGAGGTAAAGCACATGCGTTAGAATAAGATGTAATTTCATCCATTAAAGTGGATAGTCTAAAGTAAAATGCTATAGTAAGATAGCGTGGGGCGACCCTGGGAAGTCTTGACCACTTATAATTGCTAATTAATTGCACACCAATCTGACAGGTTTTTTGCAAAAACCACTTATGGAAGTCACTACAGAGGATATAACATTTTTATGCAAAACACTGGCCGTTGTGGACACAGATTAAAACATCACAACAAAACAACTAGAACCTTTAATTTATCACATATTTATCCAAAGAATAAATAATTGAGACCTCAATAATTGTTAGAAATGAAGTAACACTTTACAATAAGTTTCAATTCCTCAGCCTCATGTAATGCATTAGACTTCATAAGCTAATGACAAACAACAATTTTTAAACATCGTTTATTAATCTAAGTAGGGCTGTGCAAATAATCGAATGCGATTTTCATGCCCATCGCGTCAGTAAAGCCGGTTCTGTGATTAGTAGGAAATCTCTAGCACGTGCTTTCAAATGGAGCGGCATTTACTACACAGAGCCGTAGTTCACTAACAAGCTACGCAAAATCGAATTCATTGCCGATTATGAATGCGATTTTGCGTAGCTTGTCAGTGAACTTACGGCTCTGTGTAGTAAATGATGCTCCATCTGAAAGCACATGCTAGAGATTTACTACTAATTTAATACTTCATCGTGTTTGCGATATCTGTCAGCTATAAAATCCAGATCGGTTTTTAAAAGAAACATCGAGATAAATCTGCATGCGCTAATTCTGTCTGATGCTGTGTAAAATACATGGTGCCTTATAAGATATATTGCTGAATTCATTGCCGATTATGAATGCGATTTTGCGTAGCTTGTCAGTGAACTTACGGCTCTGTGTAGTAAATGATGCTCCATCTGAAAGCACATGCTAGAGATTTACTACTAATCACAGAACCGGCTTTACTGACGCGATGCGCATGAAAATCGCATTCGATTATTTGCACAGCCCTAAATCTAAGTTAATGTTTAATTTTCAATATAATATTGTTTGTTGCTAATTCATGTAGATTCAACATATATTAACTATTTACAAAGCTTAAAATGTTAAAAACTATTAACATTAACCCAGGTAAATTCTGTAATGCACTTAATGCATAATGAATGAACAAAGTTAACAAATTTAACCTCAATGTAAAGTGTTACCAAAATCTGAATAAAAATCAAATGCCAAGATATTTCAAGCTGCTGTGCTCTGAAGAATAAAAGTAATTCTGTACTGTGGCAAACACGTCCTTGTTATTCAGCAGAATCAGTTGATGGTTAATAAGCTAATAACCATATCTTCCACATTTTGCTGAACCAAAGTTCTGATAAAATTAGGTAATTATGCCTCTAAATGTCATCACGAATTTCACCAATTTTCCCAGCTGATTTAAAGCAGCCCTCTGCAGTAATTTTAAAGTTTGCACTTTGTTCCAGGGAACAACAAAAAGACCACATCTTAATTTATGCCTGTGGAAACCTCCAAGGCAATTCTGCTTTTCAGTTTGCTTGACTCTGTCCGTATAACTAAAATAACACAATAGTGAATAACATTAATCTATATAATGCAGCCTGTATGCTCTCATAAAAACAATGAGCTCAAGACATACATTATGTAATGCTACTGCATTATCCTGCAAACAGAGATGAACTTTAAGGTAATTTAATTCTCTATAGACAGACAATCAGAATGACTAATGTTCTGGAACTGAAACTGTAAGCCTAATAACAAAAAAATACAACATATAACCATTTTGCAGATACCTACAATATATAGCAGTGTTGTCCCTTTTGTTGAAGTAGGCAGCAAATCAAAAGTTTATTCGCACACATAGTGGAAAAATGATATCTAAAGTAAATACCTCAATATAACCCTAAATGCATAACAAAGCACTGTCGTTTTACCATTTTATTAACTTTTAAAAAAAACATTTTAAATGTACTCACCTCTCTTGGCTTTGGCTTGTCGCACCCTCCATATTGTTTTGTGGATCTCAAAATTGTAGTTAGCTGGCAAAGCCTTAATGGCCTCAATGAGCTCTGGATCTTTGAGGATCTCGTCAGGAATATGATTGGCCACTCTCCTCGGTACTCGCACTACATTAAAAAGACAGTTAATTCACTTCATTTAAGTTTGCTGTAAGCATTACTGAACACAAGTGTCTGTAAAGACACCATACAGTGCAATACAGTATATGTGCAATTACAAACTGCCTTAGCAAGTTCCCCTAAAGACATTTACTTTTATGAGAAATTAATTGGGCTACAGTCTATAATAAGACAAGGAAAGCCCATGCACTCATTTCTCAGATACAAAATTAATCATCACACAATCAATCAGTGCTGTCAGAACAGCTGCTGAACTGAGAGGTCAGTCATCAGCAGAATGAGTCTGTCAGCAATGTCCATTTATTTTTGAAGTCTATGACAGACAGACCATCTGTAATGTAACAAGTTCTGGCTATAGTTTAGTGAATGGCTATTCCTACACTACCAGTTAAAAGTTAGGAACAATTCAGATTTTTTTAGGGACAGATTTACTAAACAGGGCAAATTAGCGCGAGCGCAATTCCAAAACAGCGCCGATAGGAGGGGAAATTTCTGCGGGTGATTTACTAACAACGCGCAAATTAAAAAACACAGACGCACCATCTCATTTACATATCGATCAACGCAGCGCAAATTAGCGTAGTCGCAAATAAGAATAAAGAAATAAAGACGCCACAGTAGCCTACGTTGAAAAGAACCGGAGGCCAAAAAATGAAGGTTTGCTAGGAGGTTTGATAGACCTGGTATTGCGTGACTCCTACTCACACTAGGCACGGTTGCCTTGAACCGAGCGCGATTATCCCCCCTCCCCACTCCCCCGCTGGCCTGCACTCACACTTGCACTAAACATTCCGGGCCGGAGCACGCTTACGTCATGTATGAGATAAAGGAGAAAACCACTTTCGCTAATATTCTGCCGAATAATTAATAATAATTAATTTATAATTTATGCCGTGTATTGATTTTCACTTGTACAGGTGCATCTCAATAAATTAGAATGTCGTGGAAAAGTTCATTTATTTCAGTACTCAAATTGTGAAACTCGTGTATTAAATAAATTCGATGCACACAGACTGAAGTAGTTTAAGTCTTTGGTTCTTTTAATTGTGGTGATTTTGGCTCACATTTAACAAAAACCCGCTCAACAAATTAGAATACTTCATAAGACCAATAAAAAAAACATTTTTAGTGAATTGTTGGCCTTCTGGAAAGTATGTTCATTTACTGTACATGTACTCAATACTTGGTAGGGGCTCCTTTTGCTTTAATTACTGCCTCAATTCGGCGTGGCATGGAGGTGATCAGTTTGTGGCACTGCTGAGGTGGTATGGAAGCCCAGGTTTCTTTGACAGTGGCCTTCAACTCATACGCAGATTCTCTATGGGGTTCAGGTCTGGTGAGTTTGCTGGCCAGTCA